GCTTCACAGGTGATGTTTACACAAAACTACCTACAAGTAGTTTTGAAAGAAAGAAAAAGCTCAAAATCTCCATTAGCAGGGTGCATTTTGCAGTGTCTTGCAGTATGCTCAATGTTTGCACTTTTGCCACAGCCAAATGACTGTCATCTATGTTCCAAGTACATGTTTATCTCTCTCCTTAAAGAGAAGGTAAAGGGACCTTAGGAATGTCTCTCCACATCCCAAGTTATCAAGAACAATGGAATTCATAAAGCAATTAAACAAAGCAAAGAACACAAACAACCTAAAAAAGAGCTTCAGTTTGGGCATAAAAGGGACCTAAATTGGCAAAGAAAAAACTGGACTTTTTTCAAGAAGTTGGAGAGTAGAAGAATATCACATAGAGGGTGAAGGGAAGGAAGAGGAAAACTGTATACCTAGAATTACAAAAACAAAAATTGAGACTATTTCTGAAAAGGAGGTAGCTGAATACTCTTGGGAGGAAGTAGTTGCTTGTCGTGTTAAAAATGATAAAGTGGAGTCTCAGAAGTGATCAGGTGTAAGAGACCCTAACCAGGTTAGGGTTAGAATGAAGGGATTGGTCATACCTGCTCATTGGCACCAAAGAAGCTATTTGTGGATCTAGTAATAATAAAGAGGTCTGTTATCTTCTGGGAGCATGGATCCATAATCAATGACTTCAATGGTTATGTGCATAACCAATCGATAAACATTTATTAAGTACCTACTACATGTCTAGCACTGTGCTAAGCATTGAGGATGAAAAAAGAGGCCAAGGACAGTCCCTGACCTCAAGGAGCAGAGAATCTTCAAAGAATCATAAAAATTAATAACTGCCAACCATTTTTATCCAGCTAAGTAGCTAGGTGATGCTGTGATTAGAGCTCTGGCTCCAGAGTTAGGAAGACCTGAGTTCAAATTCAACCTCAGAAACTTATATTGTAATATTGTATATTTGCTGTGTGACCCTGGACGAGTCACTTAACTTCTTTTTTTTTTTTACTTCTTTTTACCTCAGTTTTTTCACATGTAAAGTGGGGATAATAATTGCACCTACCTTTCAGGGTTGTTGTAAGGATCAAATATAAAAAGCATTGTATAAATGTTAACTATCATTATTATTTCTGGTGATTCATATGAGCACAGATGATAATACTGGAAGGAACCTAAAATGTATTGGCAAAGATTATGAGCAGGAAACTGAAGATCATTATGGCGCTACATTTTCTTCATTGCAGCCCATTGAAGGAAAGATATGCAGAAGATTAAATATATAGATATAATATGTTAGGAATATTAACATCTGACTAAGAAGGTGGTATCTAAGAATGGAATAATAATCCCGGACTGACTTAAAATAATATGTTTTTGGTCAAGAATAAAGGACACCTAACAAAGGGTGGCAAAATATATGTTCCTGATATCTTGGAACTTTAAGCAAAAGGTCTTCAAACTATTGAAGACAAGAGAAGGACATAACATCCAAGAAAGGAAGCAGAAGTAAAATCCATGGCCTCCAATGACTGTACAAACGTTTACCATTTAGGCAATAACAAAGAGGAACTGGGGTCCTACTGCAAAGTGGCACATTTGACCTCATAGCTATCACTGAGATTTGTTGGGATAAAATGCATTCCTGGAATATAGTACAAAATGTTATACCTTTTTTCAAAAGTGAGAGGATAAGTAATGGGAGTGGAGTAATGTTGTACATTAAGAATATATATTTATGTGAGTAAATCCAAGAGCTAAATAGGGGAAGTGTGGCAGAGAGTATTGGGATATAGCTTAACACAAAAAAAAGGAAATTGATGAGAATTCAGGGAATAGATCACCAGTCTAGCACAGAGGCATGCAATAATAGTGCATAGAAACTTTGGTTATCCAGATATCTATTGAACTTCCTACCAGAAGCCAAGTAACTAATACCTTCTTGATGTGTTTTAATGATAATTTCATCCTTAAAAAAGTAGAATAATCAACAAGGGGAAATTCTATACCAGATCTGAGCTGACCTAATGGGAGGAATAAGTTATGGCATAGAAATAATTGGAATTTTCCTTTCTTTTTTCTTTCTTTCTTTCTTTCTTTCTTTCTTTCTTTCTTTCTTTCTTTCTTTCTTTCTTTCTTTCTTTCTTTCTTTCTTTCTTTCTTTCTTTCTTTCTTTCTTTCTCTTTTTTTCTTTCTTTTTTTGGTGGGGTAGGGGGTTATGAGAAATGGCCAGACTTTCTTAGAGTTTGTAATAGAGGAGAGGAAATACAGACATACTATGACCTGTACTCTAGATCTGAGGAAAGTTGATTTTAAAAGGTTCAGAAGAAGGTTAGCTTCCCATGCACTAAATTTCTAAGGTGAAATCAGTCATTGAGGGATGGGAAACTCTAATAATTAAATTCTGTAGACAAAAAGTGAAATAGTTCTATTGAGGAGAAAAAGTAGGAAATATCTGAAGAAACCAATTTGAATACAATTAGAAGGCACCAACCACCTTAAAATTTCAAAATATTTGTATAAAAGATAGAAGCAGGAATGGGTAACAGAGGGTGGATATGAGTATTGCATGGTACTCTGAAACCCGTAGAATGAGTACTAAAGCTCAGAATGGGCTGAGGCTCTAAAAGGAAGCCACGGACAGAAAAAAAAAAAAAATGTTTGTTTAAAGTTCCATAGGGGAAAACATGAAGTACAAAGAAGAGTGAAGACTATTCCTTGGGGCGGATGGGATGGTGATAACTTGATAACAGGGAGAAGACAGCTATTCAATTTTTTGCTCTTTGTCCCCTACCCTGACAAAGACAATACCTTTTGGACTATAAATATCAAAACAAATATGACTAGCAAGGAATTAATATCCAAGGTTAGTAAGAAGAGTATGAGAGAACTAATCAGCTTTGATGAATTCAAGTCACCTGGTCCAGAAGAACTATATCTTCAGGTATTAGAAGAACTTGCAGATATGATTGACTGAGCCACTGTTAATGATAAATGAAAGATCATAGAAAATGGGAAAGGGCCCACAGGTATAGTGAAAGGCAAATGTAGCAATTAAAAAAAAAGATTAGAGAACAGAATCTGTTAACTGTAGTCCAATGAGCTTGACTTTGGTTCCTAGAAAAATTCAAGAAGAAATCATTAAACATATGGTTAATGAACATGTAGTTATATATGCACATATATGTGTATAAATGTAATTGCATTTTAATGAACACACATGCACACATATATACACACAGACATATACGTATATGTATGCATATACACATAGGAAATTCCTGGAGAGGGAAATGTCCTCTTACAAATGCAGGTCACTACTTTCTCTACAACTATAGTCTTAGGGACCTTCCTGGAATTATTATTAATATTATTACTATTATTAGCATTTCTGTAATTTTTGCATATGTTATTTCATTTGAAATGATTGAGAGATTAAGTGATCCAGTGTCCAGAGCCACACAGTCAGTATGTGTCAGAGGCAAGATCTGAACCTAGATTTTTCTGGCTTTGAGACTAACCCTTTACCCACTTTTCAGTATAGCTATATAAGATGGAGACAGACATACGTATATGCATAGACATAGACTTAAACTTAGGTATAGATATATCTTTAACTTTACTTATCTATATGTACCTATACAACACCCTTCTCTCTCTCTCTGTCTTTGTCTCTCTGTCTCTCTCTGTCTCTGTCTCTGTCTCTGTCTGTCTGTCTCTCTCCTTCCTTCTCTCTCTCTCTCCCCCATACACACACACATCTATCTATCCAGCTAAACAATTTTCATTTACCTATACTGATAGCCATACATCTATCTCTTTACCTCTACCCACATCTATATGCCTCTGACCATGTCAGTTCTCTTTTAAGGTATTCAGTTTCCTCTCTATAAAATTAAAGAGTTAAACTAGATGCTCTTTAAATTTCCTCTAAACTCTAAAAACTATGAGCCTGTGACCTACATCCAGAGTATGCATATATAGATATAAACAAATATCTATGACTGTCTCGAGAAAACTTCTAGAGCAATTATGTGCTTGGAGAAATATTCAAACTTGTGCTGGATGTTTCCTATGTGGGTGTTTTGCCTTCGTTTAAATTTTTTTCTATTTTTTAAATTTTTTTGCCTGCATTTTTACAACACTTTTAGAAACACCAAATAAAAGCAGTGTGGATGATGAAATGCCCTCCAATTGCTGAAAGAGTTTGGGAAACAATATGGTTTTGTATTTTTTTAAGGAGGATTCAGGTTCAATCAACACTGAGGTCCAAGCTTAGGTTGGCTGGTGTCCAGTCACTTTTGGAAAACCACGAGGAAACACAAGGTGGGAGGAGAGGAGACTCCCAGGAGACTTGGTCAGTCTCACAAGTTCTAGGAAAATAGGAAGTTTTCATACTCACCCAGGAAAAAAAGATGTAACTCAAATACAGTTGTATATTTTGTGGTCAAGCTGGAAAGATGCAGAGTAAGGGCTCCAATCTAGATGCATTAGCCCTGGCCAGCTCTCTGTGCCACAAGCAGAAGGGCACATTGATCAAATAGGGGCCATTTTCTCTCAATGTTGTCTCTTTTCAGAGAACCCCAGATTTTTAGCTGAACCATGGTTATAAGAAAGATGTGGCTTAAAGAGCACAGCTCAGGATTCATTGCCCCAAAATCTCTCCCTGCCCTCAATCCTTTACTGGCCTGTTTACCCATTTCCTTTGCACCTCAAAGTTTCTCAAGGATTTCCTTTGCCACAGCCCTGAGAAATAAGGAGAGCAAAGATTACTACCCTATTTTGTAGATGAAGAAACTGAGGAGGTTAAGAAACTCTTCAAATGAAAAGGAGCAGGGGAATCAAATCCAGTCATATTCAGGTTGTGGGAGCTGCACTGGGAAGAGCACTTGCTTTGGAATCTGGGGACTAAATCCTGGCTCTTCTAATTACTATGGTTATGCTATAAGACAAGGCACTACCTCTTTGAACCTCAGTTTCCTTAACTAAAGATTAAAGAGAGTACTTACCAACTGTGTATGGTTGATAACCTCTAAAGTCCCTTCCAGCTTGTAATATAAGACCTTATGCACTCACTCATTTTACAGGTGAGAAAACTAAATACTTAGAAAAGGGAAATGACTTTCCCCAAATGTGTTTTGAACCTGGGTCTTCTGACTCCAAATTCAGTGCTCTTTACATACCAAGCTATTCCCTGATTTTCCCAGAGTCTGGATTCCAACCCAAGTCTTTGAACTCCCATTTTATATTCTACCACATTACTTCCCAGAGCCCTTCCCACATAACAACCCTGTGAAATAGGATACCATTAATAATTCTTTCCTGAGACATGAAAGCTCTTCAGTCTTTAAGAGTTCTCTAAAGGTTGATGCAGCTTGACATCTTAAGAGGCATCAATCCATATCAAATTAAAAACAAGATCTTCAGGGAATGTGACACAGTATAGGCTGAGGGGAGAAGGGATGGAAAACTGGAGGTGGTGGAAGGCTGCCAAAAGCTAGACTGCTCATACTTCCCAATTATGCCAAGGCTCCAGCTGTTTGCTGTCTCATTTACTGGAAGATCTTTGATGCCTGAATACAAAACTGTTGTTAATTGATTCATGTCCTTCCCTTTTGGGGAGAGTGATATAACTAGAAGAATCTATTTCAACCAACTCATTCCAAAGGAGAATTTTCATAGAATCAGAATCATTGAACCTTGTTGTTGGTGTTATTCTTGTTTTTTGGGAGTGATCATTTTCTCTATCCGCTGTCAACCTTGTTGGTCTCAGGACCTCTTTACACTCTTAAAAATTATTAAAGACTGTCAATATTTACCATATTAGAAATTAAATGTCTTGGAATTATTATAAAAATAGAAAACCTAGCAGAACCCTGAAAAGGTCTCAGAGATCTTCAGTGGTTCTGGACCACATTTTGAGAACAGTTGATTTAGGTCTAAGGCTCATTTTATAGGAAAGAAAGCTAAGCCCTGATGGGGAAAATTACTTGCCCAAAGACACATAGCTAGACAGCAGTAAAACTGGGACTAGAATCCAGGTCATGTTATATCCACTTCAGTGTTCTTTCCATCAAACTTTGAAAAAAAAAAACCCCTAGTGCTATTTTTCAATTGTAGGACTGCTTTGTATATATAATACTGAAATAACTAGCCACTTCATTGAAGAAAAATGTCTTTTTTTTTATCTGAATGTGTATTGAGATGGTAGTATTATGCAAAACTGAACAAGTTCTACTCAGCCTGAGGTTTCACATTTTACCTAGTGACTATGGGGGTAATACAGAAAGTCTTTAGTGAATTTCCCTTCAGCGCCTCAGTGCTCCTCCAAAAGAGCAATAGTTCGTGTCCATTGTCAGATACAGTCTGATAGGGTGGGTAAAAATAGGATTCACTTGTCTTAGACTCAGAAATACTTACCAACTAGAGACCCTTGAGTACATTTCACACCTCTAAACCTCAGTTTTCTCCTGGGATAAGACCCAGGTGCCCAATTTCCCTAAAAAAAAAAAATTCAACAAAACTGTTCCCAGGAAGCTGGTCACCCAAGGACATGAAAAGTTCCAACCACATAGAGTCAGAGCCCCTCCAACATGGTTGATCTTTGAAGACAGCACGAGTCATTAGAACTTCCCCTGCTGATTAAGACACATTTCCATAGTAAGAGGGAATGTAGGTGGGGAAATGGAGAGCAGGGTAAGAATGAGTCTATAACAGTTATGTGTCCCACTCTCTTTGTTACATATCCTTGTTGTGTTACAGCAAAGTAACTCTTTTGTTAACTGTTCAATAACTTGTGAGTGCTTCATTCCAATCCAACATTGAAGTTGAAATAACAAGGTGCTGATGTTAGATCCAACCCTAACATTTGGCTACTGGGTAAGGATGAGATGGCCTTGTGGATTACACCTGGTTGAATTAGGGGAAGAGCTCTGCAAATATGGAGTATGGGATGATCAGATTGTGAATCACTGCATGACATCTGGTTATAAGAGCCCTTCTGACCATTTATAGGAAATTATCTCTAGGGTAAAGACATCAGGTTCTCAATAACACAGGGTGATTAATTCAGTGGGTGCTGGAAAAGGGTGCTCAGTAGAGTTAAAAAAAAAAGGACCACATCCAATATTCCCTGTTTGTCTAGTAGAAGTTGAACCTCCAGCATAACAAGACTGAAAGTCAACAGGCTTAGTGAATTCAGCAATTGGAGATAGAGCTTTCAGCTTTGAGGAACCAGTAAAAATAGTCAAGGATCAATTAATGTAACCAGTGGCCACACAAGTGAAGGGAAATTTTATTTTATTTTATTTTTTTGAAGGGTAGAACAAACATTCAGTTTTTGAGCTCCACATTCTCTCCCTTCTTCCCTCCCTTCCCTTCCCAGTGAGAGAGCAAACAATATGATAAAAGGGATCTCTTCTAATGACAGTGTGGAATGACAGGCTGCAGCCAGGAACTCACAACATGGTTTTGGTTTCCACTGAAATCAGATCCATAAGTTGGGAGAATGAAAATGGAAGTGAAAAAGACACTTGTGAATCCCCACTGATGGTTAAGAACAAAAACAAAAACAAAACAGAATTATCTAATTACTTCTCCAAGGAGAAAGGCAGTTCCCTACACTAAAGGACCAGAGGATAGGCAGACATTCTCCTCCAAGGAGCTAGGGTGATTGCATGAATTCAAAAAACAACCTGATTAGACTTCGGAGCAATGGCTCCTGAGGGCATGGTCTAGTGTAGCACTTCTTAAATTGTGGGTTGAGAGTGGAAAAAGTTTAAGAAGCCTTGGTCTAGTGGAGACAATGCTTAGATACTCTCTGAAACTGACTTGAATAGAATAGGTGAGGTCACTGAGGGCTTACTTTTACAGAGTGAGCTATATTTATTAGAGCCTCTAGGTGGAGACCACCATTTATCCCTATTTAGGTGACTGAAATTAGGAGCTATTCAAACCATACTCCATAAAGATGATTCCCTGTCATGGCTAGTTCCCTAAAAGGGACCTAGACCTACAAGTGAAAGGGTGAAGTTCCTAAAGGAAATGGGTTTTTAATTTAGCTGAAGCATAACAGATTCTGCTCCACCCCTCACCTTTACTCAGTATGTGTTTCTCTGTTTCAAGTGTGTCTGTTTCTTGTAAACAATGTATTGTAGGATTCTGATTTTTGATCCATTTGCTACTCACTTCCATTTTATGGGAGAATTCATCCCATTCATGTTCACAGTTATGATTATTAACTGCATATCACTCCATCCTATTTTTCCTCCAATTTGTCTTCTCTCTCCTTTTAACTTTTCGCTTTTCAACAGTGTTTTGCTTCTGTTTACTACTTCCCCTGGTCTGCCCTCTCTTTTGTCAGTCCCGCCCCACCCCTTTACATGATATCCTCTCCTCCTACTTTCCTGTCAGATAAGATAGATTTCTATATTCAACTGATTGTGTATATTATTCTCTCTTTGAACCAATACTGATTAGAGTAAGGTTCAAATGACACATATTACCCACCCTCCAATCTTTCCATCCACTGTAAGAGGTTTTTCACACCTCTTTATGTGAAATAATTTACCCCATTCTACTTCTCCCTTCCTTCTGTACCTAGGGTATTCCTCTTTCTCATCCTTTAACTTTTATGTCATTCCCTCAAATTCACTTTATACCTAAATGCTCTGTCTATGTATATTCCTTCTAGCTGTACTATTAGTGGTATAATTGTTAAGAATTACAAGTATCAGGGGCAGCTAAATGGCACAGTGAATAGAGCTTTGACCTTAGAGTCAGGAGGACCTGAGTTCAAATCTAGCCTCAGACACTTAACACTTACTAGCTGTGTGATCCTGGGCAAGTCACTCAACCCTGATCACCTCACCAAAAAAAAAAAAAAAAGCAAAAAAAGCAAAAAAAAAAAAAATTACAAATATCATCTTCCTACCATAGGGATGTAAACATTTCAGTTCCATTGAATCCCTTATGTTTTCTTTTCTCTTTTTAGACTTCCCTTGGGTCTTGATATTGGAGATCTTTTTTTATGCAATTATGGCCTTATTATGAAAGCTTGAAATCCTTCTATTTCGAGATCAGAGCCAAGATGGCAGAGTAAAAGCAGTGACTTGCTTGAGCTCTCTCCCAAACCCCTCTCTAAAAACAAATTCTAAAGGAGCAGAACCCACAAAAAGACAGAGTGAAACAAATTTCTAGCCCAAGACAACCTGGACGGTTGATCTGAAAGGTATATCTCATCGGGCTGAGAGAGGAGCACAGTTCAGCATGGGTGTGCAGGCAAAACAGGTCTCAGCAAACCTGGAGCAGCTCTCAGAGGACTGAATCACTGGTAGCTATGGCAATTTCCAGACTTCTCAATCTACAAATGCCAAAGACAACTTAGAAAGTCAGTAGGAAAAGTATGTGACTGTGATGAGAGAGAAGCTTGGTCCCAGCCCCAATCCCAGCATGTGGCCTTGGGGCAGCAGCTGCTTCTGGAGCTTCCAGGTTACAGACTGAGGGGGAATCGAGTGGCTGATCAGAGGGAGATTGCAGAGATCTCTTTGCTGGTGAAAGATTCCCTTGCTTTGCCTGTGCTTGCATCTGGGTCACAGTTCTGGGTGGTGGTCCTGGGGTGAGGAGGAGTGCTGGCATGGTGGAGCTTGTAGTGACTGTAGAGAGGAAATCCTCCTCACAATTCCAAAGCATAAAAGAGTGCTTGTGGTCACTCATAGACTAGAGCACAGGCCAGGAAAAGAGTAAACACCTTGCCCCTTATCATACCACCTTGGAAAAACTAAAAATTTACAGGTCCCTAGAAGTATCTCTGAAAACAGCTGCACAAAACCCCCAAAGCTTGGGACAGTACATTATCTACAGTGGAAGCAGACCCCTACCTTAACAAAGAGTTTATAACTCAAGTAATTGCCTGGTATCATGAGCAAACTTCACACACACACACACAAAAAAAAAATCAGACCATAGAAACTTTCTTTGGTGACAAAGAAGATCAAAACATACAACTAGAAGAAGGCAATGGAGTCAAAGCTCCTACATCCAAAGCCTCCAAGAAAAATATGAATCAGTCCCAGGCCTTGGAAGAGCTCAAAAAG